CTGTCGGGGTGTTCTGAGAGCGTGCACTGGCCGGCGTCGAGCTCGTGTTGCCGAGACAACGAGCTCTCAGCCTGCTGCGTCGCCGTACGCTCGTGGGCCTGACGATCCTGGGGCGTCGCGGCCTCTAGAAGGCTATGGAGCAAGGCCGCCACGGCGGCGATGTTCTGGCTTGCCTAGGCGAAGCGAGGGAGGGCTTCATCGTCTGTGATGATCCTCCAGTTCACGTCGCGGGCCATGGCGCATGTGTGCCCACCGTCTCTACGGCGCTCGATCTCCTGGTTGAGCTCCACGCATTCCTGCTCGAGCTGGAGTCACGCTTCCTTGATCTCTCGGTGTCGAGCTTTTAGCTGTTCCACCGGCATGCGTGGCGGGGCCATTGTCTCCCTCTCGGCCTCATCATTGAGGTCGTTTGTTGGAGTAGCATCTCCCTCGTGGACGCTTTCGACGTGCCCCTCGGGGGTACCCACCATGAAGCAATCACGAGAGGGGTGATGGCTTCCCCTGTTGGAGTTAGAGCTAGAGGGCGACCCTGGCTCCTCTGCCAAGAGATCGTGGAAAGATTTTCACGACGTGTTCAATCATCCCCATGAACTCGTTGTTCGAGGGGGATGGGATCATGCGTTGTGCCACAAGGTAGCTAACGGTTGTCGCGGCGTTGCAGAGACCGAACAGAAGCACTGTCGGGGCGCTCCGTGTGGGGTGTTCTAGAGAGAGGGTGAGGCAGCGCGGGTCCTCCCTAGACGGCTAGGGTCCTAGGGAGACATCGAGCTAGAGCTCGAGCCTCCCGTAGTCGAGGCCGATGGAGGGGAGAGGTTGGATGGCGGCGTGAGCCAATGCCAACTCTCCTCCCACCGTGACGACGAAGTCCAGGTCACCAAAGCGCACGTGTGCGCTCGGGACCCAGCTGATTTCGTGGCTAGCCATCCATGGCCTGATGTTAACGTCGGAACACGCAAAGGTCCCCTACCTGGCGCACCAACTGTCGGTGTCTCGAGTAAACACCAACTATTAAATTTGTATTATTGCGCGTTGGGCCCGGATGGTGTGCTAAAAGACACAAGGTTTATACTGGTTCGGGCAGAATGTCCCTACGTCCAGTTTGCGGCTGCTGCTCATGTTATTAGCACTGAAAGGTTCGTAGTAGGGGATACAAATGGGCAAGAGAGGGATAGGTCCCAAGTCTCTGATGGAAAGGTCGAACGGGTGCTGAGAGTTAGGATGCTGCTCAGCTATGTGTTATGTGGTGCGTGGTGTGTTCAATTGATCCCTCCCCATAGTGGGGTGCCCTGCCTTCCCTTTTATAGACCAAGGGGAAGCAGGGATTACAGATGGGAGGAAGAAGAAAAACCAGAGGCAAAGAAGGTCCTTCGAAGGCGTAGGGTCTTCCTTTTCCTCTGAGCTAGCTGTGCTGACACAGCAGACGGTGCCAGGGGTAGCTCCACGCTGGGCGTCTATCATTGATGATGCCACGCTCTGACTTGATCAGCAAGTGGTCACGTCCCATCCTGCCCCGACAGGCGGCGCGACGGACCGGGGTGTTATCCGCAACCCCACGGGGAGCGGACGGCGCAGTGACTGCACGCCCGTCAATGTAGAGGACGTGAGTCCTCTCTTGGACCGTAGTGGTTATTGTATGGTTCCGTCAGGATCCGCACCCGAGGGCCAATGACGACGCCCACAACACTGTAAAACAAATGTTGGCGCCCACAACACTGTTTGGGCTCTAACATGCCCAGAAGGGCCTTAAAGCACCCGTCTTGTCATATTCTGACAGTACTTTCCTACAGGCGTGCAGGGCATGGTCCTTGGTATTGCGGTTGACTTGAGTGCCCTGTCTTATCTGTGCGTGTAGTTATGAAGGAGCAGCGCGTAGACGTCGTGCGAGGCGGAGCCAACCCCCCCAGACGTCGGGCGAGGCGGAGTCTGCCCCCGGACGTCAGGCGAGGAGGAGCCTGCCCCTAGACGTCGGGCGAGGCGGAGCCTGCCCCCGAACGTCGGGCGAGGCGGAGTCTGCCCCCAGACGTCGGGCGAGACGGAGGACGTCGGGCGAGGCGGAGCCTGCCCCCGGAAGTCGGGCGAGGCGGAGTCTGCCCCCAGACGTCGGGCGAGGCGGAGGCAGCCCCCGGATGTCGGGCGAGGTGGAGTCTGCCCTCAGACGTCAGGCGAGGCGGAGCCAGCCTGTTCGGAAGCATCAACGTTTGAAGGTTATTAGCTCCTCCTCTTTGGGTACCCCAGTATTCGGTCATCGACGGTATGTTTCACATGTTTCATACGTATATATCAGCAAGTGTTTCATGTTGCAAGTGTTTTCATTAGCGGGCGCAGTATATTTCATGCATTTCGGATGTATATTTCGTTTGTTTCATCTAAATGTTGCATGTGTTTTATCTAGATGTTACAAAAATAGATCTGGTATTGCAAATGTAGATTTGATTCCCACCTGCATGCACGTCCACGGACGTGCAGCACAAAAGCGAAGCGAGGAGTGCAGCTGCATGTGGGGCACGGACGTGGGTGGTCCCCACCTACATACACAGACGCACAGCACGGAATGAAGCGAAATGCGCTGCAATAGGCACGGGCTTGCATGCGTACGTGCAGGACCACGTGGGCGCGATGCGGGGCAAACGAGACAGGTGGCGGTAGGTGCAGTATACGGTCAGACTTATCAGGCATTGGGGTGGGCGCAACAGACAGGGACCGGCACGGGCATCCATACGGGAGCCAACCACGCCTTAATCATATAGCTGTGCACATGCTAACTATGTAGATAATAGCAAAGCACTATAATAAAGGCGAGTGCTCGCATGACCACCACAATAGCGTGACGCGTGAGAAGGGTCGACCCTCGGGGAACCGTTGATCTAGCTAGGTAGGTGCGTGAACGGAGCAGTTCAAACCTTTGAAACTGCACAGACACAGGAGGAGTGACGGGCCAGGTTTAGAGGCACCCTCAACCACATTTTTTTTAGGCCTACGTGGACATGAACCAAACAGACTCAAAGCTCTTCATTATCAATATTTTTCTTCAGCATTGGCTTGAGTTCATCCTATGTTTGAAGGAGGAGAGAGAGGAGAGGGTCTTCATGAACCTGTGCCCATCGATTACTTTATCGCGAAAGCAGCCATACCGACACGACCCAAAGACTAAAACAACACAACACATGTTATCACGTTCCAGAATGGTTTGGCGACTGAACAAGACTGAACCCGGAGCGGAGTGTTAGGCGGTGTTTGGTAAAATTTAGTATATGTGTCATCGGATGTTTAGACATATGTATGGAGTATTAAATATAGACTAATTATGAAATTAATTATATAGTTTGCGACTAATTTACGAGACGAATCTTTTGAGCCTAATTAGTCTATGATTTGATAATGTTTTGCTACAGTAAACGTGTGCTAATGACAGATTGATTAGCCTTAAAAAATTCGTCTCGTGGAGTACTGACGGATTATGTAATTTATTTTTTATTAGTATTCGAACACCCCATGCAATATCCTTCCGACACACCTCCTAAATTTTAGTAGCTATATTCAAACACCCCCTTATCATGTATGTTGTGTAGAGTACTCATATCCTTCTCCTTCTCGCCGGAGAAAAGTTGGACAATACAGTGTTTTTTTTAAAAAAAAAGAATATGAAAACATGTTGGCCCCCCTCGTTTCGTTGAAATTGACTTATACTGATTTGTTGTTAAAAAAAATAATATTCTTTCGTTAAAAAATATTGCTGAAGCAGTTCAAATGAACAGGCCGTTGTCCGGCGGTCCGGCCGTTGTTAGACGAGTGTTTGCTCAAAGCAGGGTACCATCCGTTGCTATCGATAACAGTAGCTACGTAACGTCTTTCATCCTGTTCGTTTGTCTTACGAGTCATACTATTTCAACAAACGAATTATATTTTTCTCTCACAACGAATCAGCGAACGATACAGCAGCAAAGCGAACAGGCCTTCGTGAGAACATCAATTCCTCTGTGCAGTCTGCAGTGGTGGTTGCGACGGTAGGTGCTGTACCTGGAGGCTACAGTTCTACGTAGGACGTGGATGCCCGCCCGGCGCCCGTACGCGGCTGTGGCCTCCGTATCTCCACGCCGCGCTCGTGCCCAGCCGTCACGCGCTCCGCCGGTCATCCGTGTGGAACCTTCGCTTTCCCTCGCTGACCACTCCACTCCGGCACTCCGCCCCCCGCGGTCGCCGGCAAGGAAAACGAGCCAGGGAGCTGAGCTGACGAAACCGAGTGAGTAGTGGGACGGAGAGGAGCCCCGGACCAGCGACCACCGTCCACCGCAGAAAAAACACGAGGACCTCGCGACTCCATCCACAGTCCAGCAGCTCCATCCAGGCCCGCCTGAGTACCCTGACCAGAGGAATCTACTCCGCCCGCGCCCGCGCCCGCGCCCGCTGATCCCCCTCGCCTCGCGATCGCCACCACCACACCAATCCCCCTCTCTACTTCTCCCCCGGCCTCGTCTTCTTCTTCCTCCAGGTTGCTTTTTCTTTTTCCCCGCTGCTGCAAAATCTCGCCGTTTTCGTGTTGGCGCGGCCCGAGGCCAGAGGATTCCAATCTCTTATCCCCCACGCATCTCCCGCCTCGCCTCCGCCACACGTTCCGCGCCTCCACCCACACCTCTCTCGATCTCGCTCCTCTGGATTTTTCCGACCCGATTTTTCTTCCATCAGCTCCCTTCTTCGGCTTGCGCCGGGCCGGGGCAGCGCCTCTCCTCCCTTCGTTTCTTTCTCATCACTCGTCACTGCTACTTCCTTCGAGAGGGAGGGATACCGCCATTACCGGCCCACTGACGAGAGAGATTTTGGTGTGACTACAGAGTCCCAATCCTATACCCAAAAACTCTTCTCAGCTACCAGTACTATTATCCTTCCGTTCGCTGGAACGGAGTCGATTCCGTGGCGGTGAGTTCTCGCGGCGAATACAACGCGTTGATTCCGAGGTGAAAGATCGGATCTTTTCTGCGGACTTCAGTTACCGAAACACGGAGATGTCGGTTCTCCTCGATCTATTGATGGGGATCTTCCGCCAGCAGACCCTTGGCGGCGCCGCCCTGGAGCTCGCCGCGCTGGCGGCGCCGCTCTGGCTCGCCGTGCTCGTCGGCCTCCTCATCGGCTGGGCGTGGCGCCCGAGGTGGGCGGGGGTCGTCGTGGGCGACAACAACGCCCAGCAGCAGGCGGCGCAGCTCCCCGCGCCGCCTCCTCCGGCGAGCGCCACCGCCACCGCGGTGGTCTCTCGCAACGAGGCGGCCGCCGTCGTGCCCAGGTGAGGCGTTCGTTCGTTCGCTGGATGCGCGAGGTCCTGATTTTGCCCTGAATTGTCTCTAAAGGATTTGCTGGTCTGATGTCTGCAGGACTGTGGTGGCTCCTGCGGCGGCGCCCGAGGACGAGCAGCTGGCGGTCAACACCGGCGACTTGATGCACCTCTGGCGGCTCGTCGAGGAGAAGAACGGTGGCCCGTCGTGGATTCACATGATGGACCGCACCTTGCCGACCATGAGGTACCAAGCCTGGCGGAGAGACCCACCGGTATGTAGCAGTCTTGTTTCATCATCGTTAAATTAAATGGCTAGAGAGACTTGAATAAGTTTAGAACTGAATAATTGTCTGCAAACTGTTTAGGACTAAATTTAATAGATCATCTCAAGTTGCAGACTTATGTCAGACAATTTTTCCTTATGATCAGCTCTAGTTGAAATAGATATGGATGGGTTCTACTACTGTATAAGGTAGATGAAATAACATTGAATTGATTTATTTGTGTGTTTGCTTCATTCCAGAATGGTCCACCACAGTATCGCAGTAGCACTATCTTTGAGGATGCATCACCAGAGGTCGTGAGAGATTTCTTCTGGGACGATGAGTTCCGGATTAAGAACAGCTGGGATGACATGCTTCTTCAGCACGAGACACTGGAGGAATGCACCAAGACTGGAACCTTGGTTGTCCGGTGGGTCAGGAAGGTGAGTGTTTTGCATCATCTCTCCTGGTGATTGTTGAGTTCAAACCATGGCAGGTTGCTTATAATTGATGGGTGATTCTCGCGTGCAGTTCCCATTCTTCTGCAGCGACAGGGAGTACATCATAGGTCGCAGGATATGGGCATCTGGCAAGACGTTTTACTGTGTGACCAAGGTATAGCTTATATGAACTAATTTCTGTTGCCTTGTACTCAGTAATGACTTTGGGCTGGAACTGCATAGAGAGAAATCATTTAGTGTAATGATGCTTTTTAGAGTTTAGTGCGGGCATAATGCTTTACAGTGTCACTTCTATGCTGTCAGTGCTTTGTATCTAAGCTGCAGAATCATTTGCAGTAGGGGGAACAAAACTTCTGTGAGCCTTGGTATCTAGGTTATCCTATGTTCCCAAACCATTCCACACCAGTGGTTGAGATGCTTGTCCCACTAGGAAAATCACTAAATTACACTTCCAATCTTTATATGTTCTGAATCAAAAGGAAAGAATCACTTTACAGTGCTCTGTTTTTGCCCACAGATTACAGTACTATAGTGGCACATCAAAATGCCATGGTTTTATCTTTTTGGGAATTTATAGTTGAGTGTAAGCTATTCTTTCTGTCCACCTACTGCGTACTGGAAAAGGCACTAGAAATTCTTTTTTGGCATTTCCTTTGTTCTATCTAGAATTTTGTATGGGCATGTTTTGTCATCTCAATTTATAGGTAGCAGTAACTAGGTTAAACAAGGTGATTAAACCTCAAATGACATTTTTTCAGGGCGTGCCTCGTCCCTCTGTTCCAAGACAAAACAAACCTCGTCGTGTGGACTTGTACTACTCCAGCTGGTGCATCCGTCCAGGTACTATACTAGTTACATCACAGTTATTGGCAACCTTCATAGGATACCAAAAAACTTAAGGGCATGAACTCAACTTATCCTATTTTATCTATCAGTTGAATCAACAAAAGGCGATGGTGCAATGACTGCATGTGAGGTGCTCTTATTCCATCACGAAGATATGGGAATTCCATGGGAGATTGCGAAGCTTGGTGTCCGGCAGGGGATGTGGGGCTGCGTCAAAAGGATAGAGCCTGGCCTTCGGGCATACCAAGTTGCAAGGACCGCTGGAGAGCCTATTTCAAAATGTGCTGCCATGGCACATATCACCACAAGGTTCAATGCGGATGAGCTCATCACAGAAGACAACACAGAGGCCAGTTCATCCAACAACAACACAGAGGTTGAGAAGCCAAAGCACTGGACAAACAACATACCCAAGGTCCTCATGATAGGTGGTGCCGTCGCCCTGGCTTGCACCTTTGACGGTGGATTATTGACCAAGGCCGTCATATTCGGCACGGCGAGAAGGTTTGCAGGGCCAGGAAGGCGGTAGGTGGATGGAGCTGGTCACCGTAGAGCAAAGCCATGCTTATCATGTAGCAAAACTATGCGTGGAAGTGCCCTAAACAGTATTTTTGTAGCAATGCACTGCAGAGGACAGAATGCTTTGGCTAGTTGTTCATCAGCCTGGATATCCTCATGCTGCAGATAAGGTGGTGTGCTCATATTAGGTCAGTTGAGAAAATAGATCCTGCACATTCCGAAACAGGAAATGGACGGAAAGATCCAGCGACACAAAGAAGTTTATGTAAGCAGACCGGGCATACTTGTGTTGCTGCAGTTGCCGCGGGTTAGAGCCAGCTGGTTAGGTTATTATGAGGACAAGTGTGAAGAGTTGGGAAAGAAAACAGCTGTATGATGTACGTTGTACTAGGTTCATTTCAGAGGTGGCATAAAATACACTGGTATTTAGTAGTTAATAACAATAACAAGAATTCTTGCTTTTGTAACTATATGACATCTATTGTTCTTTCCTATGGATACTAGATGTCGACCTTTTGACAGTTGCTGAAGAATTTTTGACAGAGAAATTTTTACCCAATGTTGTGTCCAACCACTCAACGCTGTATTTTTAGAATAGGAAAATTTCTGCAATGTAGTCAAAGATTAAACTATTTATGCATTCATCATCATATTGCTTTCTCCATGTCACATGACAGGAAGGTGGTACTTGACGTGTTACCTCCAACTAACTTTTTTGCAAGAGCCCGTGGCTAGTCCATCCTTGCTGAAGCTGGCCAAAATCCAGGGCCTCGAATTGGCAATCGGCCATTGCTTCACAGCCTGTGATTCTGCCGCTTGTCAATTTTGTGTGGCTCACAACATGAACTTGCTTTGGAGACGGCATCAGTACGTCCTCATGCTTTTGAAAGGGGGAAACAAATGACGCTGCTGCTAACTGAATGGATGCAAGAAAAGGTTGGCACTGTCATGTGTGATTGTGTGAATGAATGTGATAGGTGACCGTTGTCTGAAGGAACGCACTCATTGGTACGGCAATGAGATGACCTGTTCAGAGGGTTCGGCGGTGCTGGATTGACTGTAATGGCAAGTTTAGGAACACGGGACGCTTAATCTGACACTGCTGTTTCTCTTACCTAATTAGTATTTTGTGTTGCTTCCGGGAAGGCAACCGGGAGAGGTTACTCAGAAAGGTTCATTACATCCATGTTCATACCCCTCTCTCAAGCCAAGGTTTCTCTCTTATACTCGACGCACGCACATACGCAAGACACTCGCGGTGTGGTAGGCAGATGCTTCACGGGTTCACTCAATCTGGGCCGTAGACGCGGGGGTTCTAGCTCTGGGTCTCAGGTGCTTCTCTTCGGCTGGGCCGTTGGGGTCTTCTGTTGTCAGACGGCCAGCAGTGGAGGTCTTCGGGTCCGGTATGCCTGTAGGAGCGGTAACAACCCCCTCCCCTTGCGCGCCTGGATCATTCCAAAAGACTGGCGCGAGGGAACTGTTGCCTGAGATGCTCCAGGTCCTCCCAAGTAGCCAAAGTAACATGCAAATTAGACCATTGAATTAAGCCTTGATGAACGAGACGCGCACCAGATAGAACCTGGAAACTTGTTTCTTTGGATTTCATCGATGGCCTTCCTCCTTCTGCTGGCTTCAACTGCATATTGGTGGTAGTGGACCTCTTTTCCAAATATGCCCATTTCATTGGTCTTCGCCATCCTTTCACAGCGGCCACAGTTGCCAAGGTCATCTTTTCTCAGGTGTACAAGTTCCATGGTATGCCTGATGGTTTGGTCTCCGATCATGACAAAATTTTTACCAGCAAGTTGTGGACGGAACTGTTTGCTTTAGCAAAGGTTGAATCACAGTCCGACGGCCAAACCGAGAGGGTTAACCAATGCTTGGAGACCTTCCTTCGCTGTTTTGTTCATGCTTGCCCTCGCCAATGGCATCAATGGCTGGATCTTGCAGAATTTTGGTATAACACCAGTATGCACTCGGCTCTGGGGCGCTCCCCTTTTGAGGTACTCTATGGTTATTCCCCAACTCACTTCGGCATCAGTCCAGGAGATGAGCAGCCTGTTACTGACATCACCAGTTGGCTCCGTGACCGATCCCTCATGACTGAAGTGGTTCATCAGCATCTCCTCCAGGCCAAGCAACGCATGAAGAAGCAAGCCGATGCCAACCGTACTGGGTGTCAGATCGAGATCAACGACTGGGTGTTCCTCAAACTACAACTGTATGTGCAGTCTTCCATGGCCGATCGCAGCAGCCAGAAGTTGGCGTTCAAATTCTTTGGGCCATATAAGGTTGTCGGCAAGATTGGCCAGGTTGCTTACCGGCTTGAGCTCCAGGCTTCATCCGCAGTCCATCCCATCTTCCATGTATCACAGCTCAAGAAAGCTATGGGTGCTCGCCATGAGGTTACACCATCACCTCCTCCAGCTTCTATCCTTTGGAGCATACCTGAATGCATTCTACAGCGTCGTCAGGTTCCACAAGGTGCGCGTCTCGTTCATCAAGGCTTAATTCAATGGTCTAATTTGCATGTTACTTTGGCTACTTGGGAGGACCTGGAGCATCTCAGGCAACAGTTCCCTCGCGCCAGTCTTTTGGAATGATCCAGGCGCGCAAGGGGAGGGGGTTGTTACCGCTCCTACAGGCATACCGGACCCGAAGACCTCCACTGCTGGCCGTCTGACAACAGAAGACCCCAACGGCCCAGCCGAAGAGAAGCACCTGAGACCCAGAGCTAGAACCCCCGCGTCTACGGCCCAGATTGAGTGAACCCGTGAAGCATCTGCCTACCACACCGCGAGTGTCTTGCGTATGTGCGTGCGTCGAGTATAAGAGAGAAACCTTGGCTTGAGAGAGGGGTATGAACATGGATGTAATGAACCTTTCTGAGTAACCTCTCCCGGTTGCCTTCCCGGAAGCAACACAAAATACTAATTAGGTAAGAGAAACAGCCGTGTCAGATTATTTTGGAATGCATTGTGTTACACGACTAAAGGAGTAGATGGGTACCTCCTGTATCCTAAAATAAATTAACTTTAAGCTATGTACTAAATAATAAGTGTGTGTCCCTCCATCCTAAATCAAGCGCACTTCTAGGTATGGTCCATCTAGTTGTAGTATTTTTTTTTATTTTTAAAGTGTAATCATTAAATGCTGAAATAGTTTTTTATCGGAATAAATATGTAATTTCTAAGTAACATGGACCTACTCTAAAAACCTTACAAGATAACTTATTTGAGACGAAGGAAGCACGAAGTAGACTACAAGTACTAGCTGAGGTGCCTGAGAGCATTATTTATTTATTAATATATGTATAATTGCAATTGTGGGCAAGTCAAGTCCACGCCTAAGCTGAGCACAACCTCGGAGTTAGGGATGAAAACGGATCGGATACGAACGGATATCACTCATATTATATTTGTTTTCATATTTCTGTTCGGATTCGGATTCGGACACGGATAGCGTTCGGATACATATACGAATACGGATTGACTCGGTTACGGATACGAATAATGAGTATCGAATACGGTATGAATCGGATTCGGAGAAGGTCGGATACAAATATCTATTCGGATATTGAGTAAAAGCAGCATATATATATATATATATATATATATATATATATATATATATATATCATACGTGCGCAAACCATTACACCACTCTATGAGTCCATAATCCATCTAGATTAAGCCGAAAGACTAAAGAGTAAAGCAACAAATAAGATAAAGATACAGATACATCATACATCAAACATCATACAAGCACCAATCTTCGCGGCATGAGTAGAAATAGCCAAGCTCATGGCTTCATGGGTCTCATGGAGTCATCGTCATGGATTCAAGATCTACAATCCTTATATAGGCCATTTTTTCATTTGAGAAAGTTTGAACAAAATGTAGTTCAAATTTCACAAGTGTGTGACATAGTTTTAGAAAGTCTATATCAGATTCAAGAATTTGTGACTAGTGTTTGATAAAACTTTCTCAAATGGGTAAATGAGCTATGTAACAATTGTAGATCTTGCTGAGATGATCAAACTTCGTATTGAGAGTTTTTTCATCTGAGGTCATTTAGTGTCTCATTTAAGCAAGTTTGACCAAGTCAAATTTGGTCAAATGAAAAAACAACACTTTGACTCTAGTATTATGAACTCTAAATGACTTCAAATTGAAAAGTTTTGAATACCAAGTTTGTTCAACTCATCAAGATCTACAATTCTTGTTTTGGTCAACTTTTCATTTGAGATAGTTTGGACGGTTAAAATTTGTGATTTTTAAATTTTAATGCTTACAAACTAGTTTTCGGAACCCTAGATTGTCTCAAATTGAAAAGTTTTGAATACCAAGTTTGTTCAGCTCATCAAGATCTACAATCCTTATATAGGCTATTTTTTCATTTGAGAAAGTTTGAACAAAATGTAGTTCAAATTTCACAAGTGTGTGACATAATTTCAGAAAGTCTATATGAGATTTAAGAATTTGTGACTAGTGTTTGATAAAACTTTCTCAAATGGGAAAATAATCTATGTAACAATTGTATATCTTGCTGAGATGATCAAACTTGGTATTCAGAGTTTTTTCATCTGAGGTCATTTAGTGTCTCATTTGAGCAAGTTTGACCAAGTCAAATTTGGTTAAATGAAAAAACAACACTTTGACTCTAGTATTATTAACTCTAAATGACTTTAAATTGAAAAGTTTTGAATACCAAGTTTGTTCAACTCATCAAGATCTACAATTGTTGTTTTGGTCAACTTTCCATTTGAGATAGTTTGGACGGTTCAAATTTATGATTTTTAAATTTCGACGTTTACAAACTAGTTTTCGGAACCCTAGATTGTCTCAAATTGAAAAGTTTTGAATACCCAGTTTGTTCATCTCATCAAGATCTACAATCCTTATATAGGCCATTTTTTCATTTGAGAAAGTTTAAACAAAATATAGTTCAAATTTCATAAGTGTGTGACATAGTTTCAGAAAGTCTATATGAGATTCAAGAATTTATGAC